AGAGGCAGGTTTTGACACCAGGCTGAATGCTCCTCCAGCTGCTCATGGGGACTCTTCCAGCCTGTTCCAGGAACAACTTTTCTGAGACGACTCGCTGCCACAAAATTCAAAACTATATTTTTTTGTGTGTTTAAACATTTGATACGTTCACGATGTTCGGTTGTGATGAAATAAGGGTTCATAAGATCTGAAACTCACTGCGTTGTTTTCATTTACTTTTTGCACAACGTGGCTCTTCTTAAATCTTGTAAAGCTCTTGACTAAATCCACCGGATGAATATCAAACGTGAAAGGTGTTTGGAGTCAAACCTCCAGCTTGTCGCTGAACTCCTCAGAGTACGGAACAAAGCGGCTGTCCGTGTCCCCCTTGTAGAACCAGGAGCAGCGCCGGACCTCCGTCGGCTCCTCCTCCCAGAACATCGCGGAGCGCGTCCGGTCGTAGAGCCGCACGTCGTAACGCCCTCCGTCTGTGCGTACGACTACGTTCTCTGGGTCCGGTTGAACTGGACGAACAGAAGCCAACAGATTTACGTCCGTGCTTCTCGGGAGAACGGCGTCGAAGTTTCTGTCGACCTCACCTGAGTTGTACGTCTCCTCGAGCTGTAGGGAGTCGATGATGCTGAAAGGAAGCCAGACGCTCTTTGACTCCACCTGTTTGCAGTAGAACCAGTGATGCTGGACCGCTTCGTAGACGTTGAAGTTGTACGGCATCACGGGGCCTGCAGGAACGACCGCTCCGGTGGAGGCTGCCGGAGCCGGAGGGGCTTGAAGATGAGCGAGAGGGGGCTGAAGGAAACAAAAAAAAGACCCGCAAAGATCCAGTTTGTGACTGCATCATAAATCTTTTCAGGTGTGGTGAAGATGAAGCTCGTCTACCTTTGTAAGCGCCGGTCCCGACGGGGGGCACATCTGCGGCGAGGAGCTGAAGGAGTAGGGGACCTGCGGAGACGTGTGCGTTGGCGGCAGCATCTCCGGAGCTGGAATGTACGGGCTGGCTCTGCTGCTGGCGGGGGTGTGGCGGTACGGGTTGTGACTCTGCTGCGGCGTCGGCGGCGGCGTCATGGTGGCAGGGGGAGGCGTGCGACACCCCACCGGGTTCGGCGGTGTCGTTTGGTAAACAGTACTCCCAAAAACCTGCGGGGGCGGGGTCATCCGTGAGGCTGCAGGTGGAGGCGGTGGAGCCACGCTGAAGCTGTTAGGAACAGAAACGGATCCGGTTGTTGTCTGGGCTGCAGATAAAGACGGCGGCACGTACGACGACCGGCCAATGGACGCGAACGGGTCAGAGGTCGTTACGGGGCTGGAAAAGTAGCTGAAGGTGGAGGATGCCGCCGGTCCGTTCCCCGACATCTGACCGAGGAAACGGTCTTCTTCTCCGACATCGGTGGAGTCGTCTGGACATGGAGAAGAAAAAACATGTTTTGAATAATATCACACGTTTAAACGTGACGGAAACAGGAAACATGACACAGAAAGTTGACTGAGGTTTGCACATAAATTGCAAATAACTTAAGAAAAATAATTTTATATTTTTTGATCAAATGATGGCAGCGTTTAAAATATTATACAAAAATATGCCAGTTAACTCAAAAAGATGTTAAAAACGTCAGATTTTACCATTTTTATTTAAATGCCTTCTAAAATAACTTACAATTAACACCCAAAGGATTAAAAACCACATGTTATTTCAGGCTAACCACTCTAACAGTGTTTATTTCTCTTTCCTCTTCAGAACAGCTGACAGCCTTAAGCCTAGCTGCTAGCCTAGCATGCTAACGAGCTAACTTCCGTTAAAAGTCGTTCTTCTTCGTCTCACCTCCTGACAGCGCCGTCGGACCGGAGGCCTGACTCACTGGCAAAAACGGCAAGTTGAAGTTAAACTCCGGAGCGGCGCTGAACAGTAAATTAGCGTTGGCTGTAGAAGCATTATTGTTTTTCCTATCTGCCATTTTCTCCCAGGGAACACGTAGCCACAACCGGAGAGGACTTTCGGAACCGGTCAGTCATAGCGGCGAATTTTGACGATCTGTAAACCGCCACAAGAAGAAGCTAACCTATGAAGTTGCAGTGCATATGGTTTCTAGATCTGCTAAAATTATGCAGTCACTTACGGGGGTCAGAAAAAAATAGCGACTTTGAATTGTTACTGCCACCTAGCGTTCAGGAGAATTACCAAACTTTGATTTAGTTTGGGTCTTTGCACGAGCGATGATGGTGCGTTTTATTATCCTGAGAAGTCGGAATTTTCGGGTTTTCAATGTGATTACGTTGCTCACCAAATGTACCGCGAATGGTAGTTAGCCGCAACAATTGTGTGACACAATTAGCGAATTTTACATTTTGTAATATTGTTTTTGGACCGAAACCAGTAGAGTCTGACGTGAAACTTTAATTGAGTTCTGAATTTTGAGTAAACGTGAAAGCAGCACAACTCATTCATTTAACTTAATTTACAGGCTGACTCGTTTTCAAGAGACCTGTTTTAAACCAAAAAACAGATGAGGTGCACACAACAATAAAAAATATATAACGTATTAAAATATAACGCGCTTTGCTTTTTGGCCTTCTTCTTCATTCACGTTACTAAAAATATTATTGTTTGTATAACTATTTAATGTAGTTTGTTTTTGTTTCAGTTACTCGTTATCACAGTATTATTCCTGCTCCGGTTTGTCCCGGTGCGCAAAACAAACGCGCATGTTCTAGGGAGCGGTGACGCAAATTTCCCGCGCTCGGTTCTGCGCTCCCTTTTAAGGAGGAAAGTTGTGGATTCGCGGATTTTACCGGCATATAATCTTGATTAATCTGACAGCTGTGAACCGGGTGAGGATGCCTTCTACGATGGACTGGATCAACGAGCCTCTGGGTGTCGTTGAGGGGATGTTCGGTAAGAACCGACGGCTAATCTGAACGCGTGGAGCTAGCTAGCAGCTAGCCGTTGCTAGTTTAGCAACAGTGCGCGTCACATGTTGTTCCTCTTTTAACGTAATTATCAACAATAAACAACAAAATTAGTCTGATTGGGCTCTTGAAGACGCTGTGTGTATCCACCTCAAAATTGTTGCTTTAAAATATGATTTAATGCATTTTTCTAAACTTCAAGACTGGTTTAAAATATAAGAATATAAATTATACAAACAGAAAAATGACAATAATTAGTTTAAATAGAGCCAATAACCTTTTTGGAATCTCAAACCAGAGGCAAAAAATAAATGTGTTTGCTCACGTTAGCCTTTAGCTTTGCTTCGTGATAACTAAAAAAATAATAATTATGTTTTTATAAACACATTTTATTAGAGCTGAGCGCTTAATAACCTTCAGTGACGTTTGTTAAAACAACTTAAACTGAATTATTAAAGTTAAAACAACTGGACACAAACTAAACTTGCTAAATAAAAGATCAAAGTAGTAGCAAAAAGTTAAAATGTGCTAAATGTTAATAGCTTAAATTAGCAGAGTAGACACTAAAACATCAAAACATTAGTTAAAAGATAAAATTACTTAAATTAAAAACTAAAACCAGCCGAATAGCCGCTTACAAACTACATTTAACTAAAGAGTAATTAGAAGCCAAAGTTTGCAAACCTGTAGCTGAAAGCTATAATTGTTAAAACAATATGTCCAAGTTTGAACTAGCAGAATGATGCGTAAAAGAGCTAAATTCTAAAATCAGCAGAATAGTAGCTAAAACCAAAGTCCACAAAACAACTTAAATTGAATAAAAAAGATTAAACCAGTAAAGTTACGTATTAGAACCTGCAAAACCAGCTAACGGGTCAACAAAGTAGCGTCCAGGATAAAAAAATATATAGTAGCTAAAAGCTAAGTTTACAATAAGTAAAAGAAGCAAATGATACCTAAAACCAAAAGAATAGTAGCTGAAAGCTAATATTCACAGAAGTAAGCCAGCAGAGCACCAGGTAAAAGCTAAACTAACCAACCGCTTCTAAAAGTTAAACTTCAAATAAGTAAAGTTTATTTGTAAAACAACTTTCATAGATACAATATCACAAAAAGTAGCTAAACGTAAAAAACCCCAACAAAACAGCTTAAAGCTGAAATCTAAAGAAATGTGGCTTAAAACTAAATTCAGCAAATTAGCAGATAGAAGTTCAAATTAGTAAAACAGTGGCTGAAAGCTAATATGTCAGAGCTACAAGGTAGCTAAAAGCTAAAAATGAAGCAAATAGACTGAAGATGTGGAAAAGTGGTAGAAATGGACACGCTGCAGACAGATGTATAATAAATATATTTTTTAAGATCAGGTTTGGCGGCACAGCCGGTTGTGGGACTCTGGTTTATTCGGCTCGTGTCTTTTTGATATTTTAGCTGCTTCCCAGAACCATCGGCCCTCAGGATGGGAGGCGAAGGTGGTGGAGTTTTTCAAGGAGCAGCTAAAGGAGAAGGAAGCTCAGAGCTCGGTGACGTATCTTCGGCTGTTCAGCTGCTTCGCCTGTTGTGTTCCGCGTGACGTCGCTCTGTGGCGTGACGGCCATCTTTGTCTTTAGGTCCCCTCCCTGAACGACGTCCCCCTGCACTACCTGAAGCCCGACAGTCTGGTGAAGTTCCGCTGCCTGATCCAGGACATGTTCGACCCGGAGTTCTACATGGGGGTTTACGAGACCGTCGATCCGTCCACGAACGCAAAGGTGCGTTCAAGATGGCCGCCACGGCTAATCACACTTGACCAACATGAAAATGGCTACGACTCCGACCGTTTTACAGACGCTGGTGGTTGTTTTCAAGGTTTGACTAAAACTCGTTCCTCAGCCGAAGATGATCTCAGGCTGAAAGGCGGCGGGCGACATGCATTCCTGTTGTCTCACTTCCTGTCTGCCTCTCCTCAGACGCTGCGGTGTGGGAGGTATAAAGACGTGGCAGAATGTTCGGTGAGTTCACCTCTGATGGCTTCTCTTCGGCTCCTCCGTGAGGCTCCAGCAGTAACTCTACTTTCATCTTCAGGTGGACTTTAGCTCCAGAACCATGACGACCGCGGAGAGACAGACCTTCTACTGCGTCCCGATCCCCGGAGAAAACTCCTGGGTCAAAGAAATATCCTTCTGAAAGAGCCGAAAGAAGACGCTGCGTGGGTTTAACGTGAGCCGAAATGTTTGAAAATGTAACATTAAGACTAGCATAAAAGTAGCTAAATATAAATTCAGCAAAACTGTAGCCAGAAGCTAAAATCAGCCAAAGAAAACATAGAAGCCAAAATTTATAAAACTTTATGTAGAAGCTAAATTTAGCAAAACAGCAGCTAGAAGCTAAATGTCATGAGATGATGAGAATAATTTTTTTTAAGAAATGTTTGACCCCTTTCTCAATGATCCATGGGCCAGAACCGGCCCGACAGTTTGGGACCCGTGTTTGTCGTTTTCTTTAATCCCGCTCCACATGTATGCCGGCGGCAGCCAGGCGCGAGTCGTCCCGTCCACCTCGTACGTCCCCAGCAGACAGAAGAGGAGCTTCGAGGAGGACGAGGACATGGACGTTCAGCCGCAGAAGGAAGGACACGCCGGTACCATCGCTTGTTTTCAAAATCCGAAACAGGAACAGTTCTGGATTAAAACGTAGAGCTCTGTGGTTCTTTTAGGTTCTCAGAGTCCGGTGGAACAGCACGGAAACGGTGACTGTAAGCGTCAGGAGACAGAAGCTCCGTCTGGTCGGGAAACCTCAGCCTCCCACCTGGACCTGAACTTTCCTCTGCCGGGGGAGAAGGGCCCCTCCTGTCTGGTCAAGGTACCGTGTCCTGCGTCACACCGGGGTACAGTGTCCTGAGTTACACCGGGGTACAGTGTCCTGCGTCACACCGGGGTACAGTGTCCTGAATTACACCGGGGTACAGTGTCCTGCGTCACACCGGGGTACCGTGTCCTGCGTCACACCGGGGTACAGTGTCCTGCGTCACACCGGGGTACAGTGTCCTGCGTCACACCGGGGTACAGTGTCCTGCGTCACACCGGGGTACAGTGTCC